GTGTGTGTGTTCTGGGTAATGTTATTGGGAGAAATGTACTTAAAGTGTTGGCACACAGGTGAATCCTTTCTTCTTTTTGCAGGCTCCATGAAAAGAAGGTCGTCTGTCATAAAGTGTGCAAACTCCAACACAGACACATGCACACAGGTTTTCCATGGATCCATTTAATTTATATAAGCTAATGAAGTGCTTCAAAACAATTTTTTTTTTCCTCTGAACTAGCGAGGCTTTAGATGTCACCAATGATGTAACTTGCCCTCAACAAAACAAGTCTCCTTAAACGCTTCACTGAGAACTTCCAGGATTTCTCGACACACACTCTGAAACTTGGGCACAGGAGGACCCATCCCAACCTGTAAGTCTCACAACATGATTGGCCATATAATTTATCTTTTTACAAAGCAGTCAAACATCTGTAAATCAGCACTAAGATTGTCTATCTGCTGCCATACAAACAAAGCAGAGCAGATATTTTTCCTTAGTTGTTTATTCAAAGGTTTACATGATTTTGTGTACGACAGATGAAGCTGTGTCCATGGTTTAGTGTTTGGCTCTTTAATATAACAAAGTCTAAATGGCCCATAAGACGTTGCTCACATCTATCCTGAAGGGAACAAAATGTGTGCTTGGCATCCTGATCTCAGTTTTTCATTTTGTTTTCAGTATTTTGTTCAGTCACCCAGCTCAGAGCTGAAAAATAAAATACTTATCACATGAATGAAAACAGCATTTTTAAAATGTGAACAGGGGTGCAACACTGGAACGTGGCAGAGATGTCTGCAGTGTGCAGCTATTGTAAAAATGTATCAAGCTATGTTTGAGTACAGGATGGATTCAACCCTCATCAGTGAGGGGTGGGGTGGGGGGTGTTGCATAAACAGTTATCGAGATGTGTCAGTAAAATGTATTTGAAAGCGGATCATAGGGACGTGCAGACAGGTCACTCCTGTTCGTTTACTTTACATGTAATCAGTGCTGCTTCAGTGGTATTGACTGAGTAAGACGGTGTTTGTTGAGCTAATCTTCAGATCAGGTTTTCCAAATAAACACTAAGTTCACAACCATTACGTACCCGCAGACAGCATTAGACCATGCATGACGTTTACAAGTTCAAAGCGCTGACACAACAGCAACACACGGATATCATTGATTATTAATGGATCGTACCTTCCACAGCTCCGTCAATCATCTGTTTGTGATGAAGAAACAGTACAGTTTGTTCTAACGAGGTTAAATCAGGCCCTCTGGACGGATGCTTCTTTTTTGAAACATTTCGTCTTTTAACCAAAAGAGACTGAAGTATTTTCAATAAAAGACAAAATGTTTCAATAAATAATTCGTCCAGAGGACTTGATTTAACCTGGTTAGAGTAATCTACCTGGATTATTGAGCAAACTGGTCCAGATGACATGATTTAATGTTTTTGTTGTTATCTACCTGGATGCTTGAGCCTACAAACCTTTTATTATTATTATTATTATTATTGAGCATGCATCTGTACAGTTCATTGTACAAACACAGGGTGTCACTAAATCCATGTAGACTCAGACTATCGCCCTTGCAGCTCTGAGTCTGTCTACTCAACCGATCAACAGATGGATGGTGTTTTCAGATGGTTTTAAATATAGATGTATAAAGCAGCAGCTTTTTAAAGATAATTAAACTTTCAAATTTAAACCTGAAATGTTGTGCCTTTGTGAACTTATCAGTAGGACAGTAGGATATTGATGTGTTTACAAAAGATAAAACTGTCAATACATCTACACAGAGCAAAATGCTTTCAGCTCTAACAGACGTACAGAGCATTCGGAAAGTATTCACAGCACTTCACTTTGTCCACATTTTATGTTACAGCCTTATTCCAAATTGTATTATATTAATATCTTTACTCAAAATTCTATGCACAATACCCCGTTATATTATGAGATTTGTGATTTGTTTTGCAAATTTATTAAAAATACAAAACTAATAAATCACATGTATTAAGTATTCACAGCCTTCACCTAATACTTTGATCCACCTTTGGCAGCAGTTCCAGCCTCCAGTCTTTTGAATATGATGCTTCAAGCTGACCTACAGTATCTTTAGGCAGTTTGTCCCGTTCTTCTTTGCAGTACTTCTCAAGCTCCATCAGGTGGGAGACGTCTGTGCAGCCATTTTCAGACATCTCCAGAGATGTTCAATCAGATTCAAGTCTGGACTCTGGCTTGGCCACTCCAGGACCTTCACAGAGTGGTCCTGAAGCCTCTCCTTTGAGATCTTGTCCATGTGCTTTGGGTCATTGTTCTGCTGAAAAATGAAGCGTCTCCTCAGTCTGAGGTCCAGAGCTCTCTGGAGCAGGTCTTCATCCAGGATGTCTCTGTTCATTGCTGCGTTCATCTTTCCCTCCATCCTGACTAGTCTGGAAGTTCCTGCTGATGAAACACATCTCCATAGCATCAGACTCAAGAAGTCTTTTAGATAAAAGACAAAATGTTTCAATAAAGAAGAATATGTCCAGAGGACCTGGCTTAACCTAGATCCCCATAGCATGATGCTGCCACCACCATGCTTCACTATATGGTATTATTCTGCTGATGAGTGGTGCCTGGTTACTTCCAAACATGACGCCTGACATTCACACCAAAGAGTTCAATCTTTTTCTCATCAGCCCAGAGAATTGTTTCTCATGGTCTGAGAGTCCTTCAGGTCATTTAGTCAAACTCCAGATGTGCTGCCATGTTCCTTTTATTAAGGAGTGACTTTCGTCTGGACACTCTACCATACAGCCTGATTGGTGGATTGCTGCAGAGATGGTTGTCCTTCTGGAAGGTTCTCCTCTCTCCACAGAGGAACTCTAGAGCTCTGACAGAGTGACCATCAGGTTCTTGGTCACCTCCCTGACTAAGGTCCTTCTCCCCCGATCACTCAGATTAGATGGCTGGTCAGCTCTAGGAAGAGTCCTGGTGGTTCCAAACTTCTTCTATTTAAAAATGATGGAGCCCACTGGGCTCATTGGGACATTCAAAGCAGCAGAATTTTTTCTGTAACCTTCCCCAGATTTGCACTTCAACACAATGCTGTCTCGGAGGTCTACAGACAATTCCTTTGACTTCATGCTTGGTGTTTTCTCTCTGACATGAACTTTGGGACCTTCTATAGAAGGGTGTGTGTCTTTCCAAATCAAGTCCAATCCACTGAATTTACCACAGGATGACTCCATTAAAGTTGTAGAAACATCACCAGGATGATTCGTGGAAACAGGATGCATCTGAGCTCCATTTGAGCTTCATAACAAAGGCTGTAAATACGCAATTCAATTAATCAAAAATACTTTATTAATCCCAAAGGGAAATTATTTGTTGTTGTAACTCATTACCCTGGTTTTATTAAGAGATGTTATAGATGCTGATGGCTGTAGACCGAAATGATCTCCCGTAAAGGTCCGTCCCACAGCAGAGCCAAAGAAACTGGCTGAAGATGCTGTCCGATCCGTCCACCCAGACTTGGCTGGCCTCTTGGATCCCCCAGGCTGCAGGACCACTCGAATGCTGAGCAGAACTCCTCCCAGAGCGATGGTCACTCCTCTCAGCAGCCTGCTGAGCTCCTCGTCGCTGAGACAGCTGGCTGCAGGTGCCGGGGGACGATCCTGTCCTTCTACTGTCACAAGCTGTGTTTCCTGGCAGTTGCAGGATCTCAGTGATCAGGTTCTCGAGCACAGCTGGCAAGGAGATGGGAATGCATCTATGGAGCCTCCTTTTCAACTCATTTGAGATTTGGGGCTATAGCTGTGATATTACTTGAGCTTTTGAGGTGTTAATCAGCTGCTCCCAGTTGTAAAAAAAACAAACACCTTGTTATGGTTACACATGATAACAACTGTCCAAAAGTTTAAAAAAAAAAAATCTGTAAAAATCCTTCCAGCTGCACAGCATCTGACACCAGAGGAAACAATCATCCAAAGAAAAAAGTGATTTACATTCAGAAAAAGAGGAAGTAAATTTTCAAAAGCAAAATCTCAGAATGAAAGTAACACAGCTGCTCCAACATGCAGCCAGCCCGAGCGGCGCAATTCTACAACTCACGTAAATGTGATTTCTTAGTTTTCTATTTTTAAAAAATTTGCTAAAATCTCAAAATATATTTTTCACATTGTCATAATGGGGTATTGTGCATAGAATTTTGAGGAAAGAGATTAATACAATTTGAAATAAAGCTGTAACATAACAAAATGTGAGAAAAGTGAAGCACTGTGAATACTTTCTGGATGCACTGTATGGGTTGAAAAGTATTCACCTTCTTCTTGGTGTTTTCTTTTATGAGGAAAACCAGTTTGAATCTGCCAGAGATTCAAGACTGGGGTTTGTCTTCCAGAAGATATCGACCCTACATGGACTGCGGTGGTTTAGGGAGAAACCCAGACTCAAACTGGGATACTCTGGTTTGACAAAGACTGCAAGCAGTACCAGTCCAACTTGAATGAGCAGTTTTTTTTTTTTTCATGAAGAAGCAAACATTTCAAAGGTTTGCTGGACCGAGATCAGGGAGATGTACCTGAAGAAACTTCCTGCAAAAGTGTCAACTTTAGGAGTGTGCTCACTGAAACACTTTGTATTTAGTCTTTTTCTTGCTTCAATATATAAAAAGCGTTATCTTATCATCCGTGTTATGTAAATAAAAACAAAAATATTCTTAGATTTCAAGATGTAAACCTACAAAAGAGCCTGTCAAGGAAGGGGGTGAATACTTTAGCAACCCACAGTATGTTCTCTCTTCTCTCGTCACTGCGTTGTAAGAACAGAAGTGAAGCGCCATGCAGTGCAGGTTTAAACACATCATGTTTAGTTTTTATTTACAACAGTGTGTTTAGAAAATGTAGAGCACAAACAGAAATGTAGAAATGATGTACACAAACTCAATAAATAGATATGAACACACTTTAGAAAAGTACAGGTTTTCCATTCGAGCCTTTGGTCTGGAACCAGGTGGAAACGAAACATTTGCAGAAGTTCTCTGTGCAGCACTGCAGCCCTATCACGTTCCATATAAATACGGATTATAAAGTGCAAACACAACGCCCTGTTGGCAAAGAAGGTTTTGCTTTATTTAAGGTTTTTCAGGCTTGTGTGTATTTTCTTGAGGTTGCATAAAATCTAGACAGAATGAAAGCTAAAGGAAGATGAGCCAAGCACCTGGCGCTGTACAGAGAGGCACTTGAGCACTTGCACCTCTGGTTTGGCATCATGACGTTTGGCACGCAAGGGTGGCGTTGACCTGAAAGTGAGTGTGCATGTAAAGAAAAACAGTCCTGTGCAGGAAAATTCACTGCTCCATTATGCATCTGAAGATAAATGCTGCAAGGCAAATTACGTCCGTTTGTTCTTCAATTTACCCTTAAAATTAGGGATTTTCGGATCTCCTGCTGAGGTTTAAGAGGACGGTCTGTACTTGTTTATCCAAGTGACCTACTTCAAGTTTCCAGTCGGTTAATAAACTTCTTTGTTCCACAAGTTCTTTCGGCACTTTCACTTTTATTGGCCTTCGTTTAGCAAATGGAGCCATCCTTATTGGCAGATGGGGAGCGGGAGCTGCTACGATGTGGAGCGGTCTGGTTGACTGACGTCTTTCTTCCTTTGCTGCTTCTTCTTCTTTTTCTTCTTCTTGCTGCTGCAGGGCTTGCACATGCAGCACAGGATGCAAGGCGAGGCCAGCAGCAGGAGTGGAGACGTTACCAGCACGATGATGCTGACCCCCACCAGGATGCCCACCACCTGGATCAAAACAGAAATATTATGTCAAGTCAAGTCAGTCAAGTCAGATTTATTTATAGAGCACATTTAAAACAGAAACTGTTACCAAAGTGCTTAACAAAAATATCACATCATCAGATAAAAAGTAGCAAGATATATTTACAGCACATGGAATAAAAATATAAAACCAAAAACAATTAGAAACAATGAAATACTAAATCAGATCACGTTGTGTCAAAAGTCAAGGAAATAATAACAAAAAGCATAAACTCAGTCAGAAACAATGAAATACTAAATCAGATCAGATGACCTTGTGTTAAATAGGAATAATAACAAAAGCATAAACAGAATCAGCATCAATGAAAAACCAGATCTAAAGCTGATCACCCTGTGTTAAATGTCAATGAGTACAGATGTGTTTTTAGGAGAGATTTAAAGGCAGAGACTGAGGTGGCCTGTCGAATGTTGATGGGCAGATTGTTCCAGAGTTTAGGGCCCACGACTGAGAACGCTCGATCTCCTCTGAGCTTCAGCTGGTTTTTGGTACGGCCAAAAGCAGCTGGTCTGATGATCTCAAAGCCCGAGAAGGAGTATAAGGAAGAAGAAGGTCGGAGAGGTATGATGGTGCAAGGCCATTAATGCACTTGAATGTCAGCAGGAGAATTTTAAAATCAACTCTGACACGCACAGGAAGCCAGTGAAGGGAGGATAGAACCGGAGTAATGTGCTCAAACCTGTGAGTTCCTGTTAGTAGCCGAGCTGCAGCATTTTGTACGAGCTGGAGACGTGAGAGTGAAGCCTGACTAACCCCAACATAAAGTGAGTTACAGTAGTCCAGCCGGGAAGTAATAAATGCATGGACTAGTTTTTCAAGGTCGAATCTGGACAGAACGGACTTTAGCTTTGCTATATGCCTTAGCTGAAAGAAGCTCTTTTGTAGAACAGAGTTGATCTGTTTATTAAACTTAAAGTCAGAGTCTAACACTACCCCGAGATTGGTAACTGACTGCTTTAGATGAGGCTGAAGGGAGTGCAGGTTTACAGGATCAGTGACAGTGGTAGAGCTTGGGTTAAACACAATGACCTCAGTCTTCTGATCATTAAAACTCAAGAAGTTTGCAGCCATCCAAGTCTTGATGTCATCAAGACATTTTAGCAAAGGGAGGATGGAGCAAGAACTGTTTGGTTTTAAAGGTAGATAGATCTGAGAGTCATTGGCGTAACAGTGAAACGAAATAAGATGTTTCCTCAGGATTGACCCCAAGGGGAGCAGATGCAATGAGAACAGAAGGGGTCCAAGAATGGAGCCTTGTGGGACCCCACAGGAAAGAGGGACAGAAGCAGATAAATGATTGCCAAAGTTAACACAAAAACTCCTGTCACCCAGATAAGAACGGAACAATTCTAGCGCCACCCCTGTAATCCCAACCCAGTGTTCTAGCCGTGACATAAGGATGCTGTGATCAACAGTGTCAAATACAGCGGTAAGGTCGAGGAGTACCAGGATCACAGACTGACCAGAGTCATTCGCTAGCAGAATGTCATTACAGACCCTTACTAAAGCTGTCTCAGTGCTGTGCAGTTGTTTAAATCCTGACTGAAAAATCTCAAAAATTCCATTTACATTCAAAAACTTGGTTAGTTGACTAAAAACTATTTTCTCCAAGATTTTAGAAATAAATGACCAAGCATTTAATCAAAACTTTGTGTTACTTCATGGTTGAATACAAGTGTCACAGACAGCACATTATATGCCCGTCAACAAACTATTATACAGCAATTTATAGAAATGGCCCCGACAAGCAAAGACCTTGGATAACCTCTGGTCTTGATTTATGACCCTGACCTTAAAGCTGGGGGATGAAAATATTAGACATGCTGTCTAGTGGTGGTACAAATGTGTAAACTTCCATAAAATAATTGTGAGCTGATCAGAAGTTATGGGCGGGACAAGAGAAAATTTACAGATGGACGGAGAACGTACGAGAACACGTCCGCTTTCAACGGCCGTATGAAAAGTATGAACATGCCTGCGCCTTTGGAATAAACCGAGACAACTTGTGAAAAAACAGCAGTTACAAAAAATTTGAGACGGAGATACTGTAAATATGTAAAATATTTTAGGTCATTCAGTTATGATATATATATATATATATATATATATATATATATATATATATATATATATATATATATTTCATAAAGCCTGCCAACTTACGTGCACTTTCATATTATTAATAACATTATATAACAGCATTCTGCAGGGAGTGTAGTTTTGGTGAATAAAGAGTAACTCATCTAAAGCTTATTGCAAAAGAAGTGGTAGAAAAAATGAGACTATACAAAGAATATGTGCAGTAACCTACAGTAAGTGGTCTGTCTCAGACTCCACAGGCCTCAGGTAGAAGTTGTGACAGTTCAGGTAGAAAGAAGTCTGACTTGTTTGGAAGAGTTGTCCGCTGAAAGCCTTTTGGCTCGCTCGTAACCTTCAGCTGGGTTCTCACTTTCTTTACAAGAGCCACAGCAGCTGTCAATCTTGTAACTTGAGTTTTGAACATGTTCATAAAATCTGCGTGTTAAATTTGACAAAGTGACACTTGAGAAATCACAACGCTTATCAGGTGTTGGTGTTCACATCAGTTGGTGCATGCAGGTGGAAAGTTCAAGCCAATATGTTTGTGCTGATAAATGTACTTTGTTTGAGTAGAAGACAATTGAATTTTGCCTGTAAGCTTCTGAATGTTTCACCTCTCACCCAAAAGGCTTCTTTAGTTCTGAAGAGTGAAGGGAGCGGGTTCAGCCTGGAGTTTGGACCTTCAAGCTTGTAGAGCCACATGTGTCCCAATTCATCTGGTCGAGCAGGTGAACAGGTTTGTATGTCTCAAGCTGGGGGTAGTTCTGAAACTGTCTGAGAAGCAGATTCCAGTCTACACTGAATGTTGGACAGATGATACATGAGTCCAACTACTGTTTGTTCTCCTGTCCAAAACGTGTAATACGTGCATTTTACTGTCCTCAAAGAAAGTCCCTGCCCTTTGGGAAGTATAGATTCTTGTGTTGTTTAGTGTCTGTGTGGAGTGTTTATCTGCTACAGGCTGAAACTTCGCATCGGTGTTCATAACAAAAGATGCCTGTTGGACCAAATGTCTTCAAATATGTTAAATGTCTTCAAGAACAAAATATGCCTGATCTTTATAGCTCATCACTTATATCACACTGGCATACAGTATCTGGAAATGGTCTTTAAACCCCTTCATCTTCATCAAACTTCAAAGTATTTTACTGGAATTGTATGGGACAGACCAACACAAAACAATAAATAACTGTGACATGCATTTGTATTCAACCCCCTTTACTCTGATGCTAATTAAATAAAATTCAATGCAACCAGTCATTTTCAGAAGTTGCCATTTAGTAAATATAGCCCTACTGTTTGTGATTTATTCCAGTGTAAATACAGCTGTTCTGTGAACGCCTCAGAGCAGACTGAACCATAACCCTGGGGGGCAGCTGCTCAGGCTGAGGTGGCTCCGATGCATAATGTGCATGGCCTGGTCCTGCAAACCCTTGCACACAAAAAATAAGCTGAAGAGCGGCTTTTCAAAATGTCTCCGCACATCTTACAAAAAGCAAATACTCAATTCAATTAAACAAACTGAGTCACCAACTAGTTTCCCACAATAGCAGCTCAGTTAGATACTACTCAATAAAAAAATCTTTCATCTTGAACAAAAAACTGCCGAGTTAGCGAAAAGAACAGAAAAAATAATGTGTAAAAGTCTTAATCTGACAGAGATGTCATGAGACCATAAGATAGCCATGAACACATGAACGATTTGTCCATGTTGAGTCGATATTAACACACCACAGATAACACGTATATATAGGGTTGTGTTTACTTTAAAATCTGATGAAGACAAGAACATTTTTAATCTTCCGATATGCATAAACACTGGAGATGAAATCGGGTGTACCTACTTGTTCTAGGCTCTATAGCTCCATCTAAAGGAGCCAAAGCTTATTCCATACAAGAATCATTCTTATGCGTCTGATCCATCATGGCAGGCTTCATTGTGTTAGAGCTAAAATAAAATCATGTTTAACAGACTCGCAACAACAAAAGGTATCGCACTGACTCAACTTGTACTGACTGGCAAAACAGAAGAGCACAGAAGAATCTACAAATGTCACTAAGGGGAAAAAAAGCAGGCAACCAGAGTGTAAACCTTAGAAGACCTGTTAAACAAGGGTGTAACCACACCCATCAGTTGTTTTGAAGCACCACTGTGCTGCTGCGCTTTGATTCTCCAGACATTTAGCAACACGTAGCAGACAAGGTGTTCTCAAAGATCTGGACACTCATCACGTGTTGATAAAGCCATTAAAGCAGGAGAAAGCAGAAACAGAGAAGGCTGGGCGGCCAACTGTAATCATTCTGGTCAGCACGAGGTTACTGCAGGGTACAGTTCTGATTAGTGCTGGCATTAGCTCCGTTTAAAGTCCAACTGCAGATTTCTTGGACACACTGGAGAAAAACAAACACCAGACGGCAAGTAAGCTCAGACATGACAGGTCTTTCACTGGACACTTAGCCGTTAAAGTAGCAGCTGCTGACAGGAGGGAAGCTAAAGAAGTTAATCTCACTAGTTGCCGGCGTTCATCAGGGAGTCTACAATGAGACTTCCACAAATTTCTCAAATTCTTTGCGTGAGTCTCAGAGGCGTGCAGCCTTGTTGCTGGAGTTTTGAGTATGATCAAAAAATGAGTGTGACACGTTTTCTGTTGTGATTTCAAAATACTGGCTACGCAAAGCACAGCCTCACAGCTCTCTGTTACAAACACTCGGAAATCAGTGAGACTGAAATGAAACGTACAGAATTTAGCAGTTTTTTTTATTGTCATCTAGTTTCCCCACAGGTTCTGCCCGTTGTCACCGATTCTGTTCATAACTTTTATGGACAGAATTTCTCGGTGCAGCCAGCGGGTGGAGGGAGTCCACTTCTGTGGCCTCAGGATTCCATCTCTGCTTGTTGCAGATGATGTGGTCCTGTTGGTGTCATCATGCCATGATCTTCAGTTCTCACTGGAGTGGTTCTCAGCTGAGTGTGAAGAGGTTGGGATGAGAATCAGCACCTCCACATCGGAGGAGCCAAGAAAAGGGTGGATTGCTCTCTTCAGGTCAAGGGTGAGGTTTTGCCTCAAGTGGAGGAGTTCAAGTATCTTGGGGTTTTGTTCATGAGTGAGGAAAGAGTGGAGCGTGACATTAACAGACGGATTGGTGCAGCATCTGCAGTACTGTAGACTCTGTGCTGGTCCGTTGTGGTGAACAGGGAGCTGAGCTGTAAGGCAAAGCTCTCCGTTTACCAGGTCAGTCTATGTTCCTACCCTCACCTATGGTCTCAAGCTATGGGTGGTAGAGGATGACATTTTTTTCAGGAGTCCTGCGGGTCACGGGATTCCCAGAGGATTCTGGCAGGGCAGGAGTCAACTTTAATATAACGCACAGGATTGGGATGGGACAGGACAAAAAGTTAACAGGAGTGGGAACCAACCAATAGGACAAAAAAGAAAATGAAGAAAAAAAAGAAGAAAAAAAAAAAAAAACTTTGGACAGGCGCCACTATTTTGTACTTTTCTTTCAACAAACCTTCACTCTGGAACACCAGACCTGCAATGATCCAGTCTGTAAATGATGCTCTGAAGTCTGGTAAGCTGCACGACATCCTGCTTCGCTGAAACGAGCTCGTTACCTCGACCAAATAGACTGAACTTCTTGAGGATGTCGTACAATGTATAATAATGCCTTTAAGCATTTTTATTTTATTTGTTGAGTTTTCTTGCTTGGTACTTTTTTTTCTTTTTTCTTTAAACAATTTAAAACATGACGGTAATGTCAATGTTTAAAGGAAACATTTGCTCAATAAATTAGTAAAATGCAACTTCATATGTTATGTCTGGGTTCAAGGTGTGACCCATGTACTGTTGTTTTTTTATTTTTTGTTTTTACTGTAACTGACCTCCAAAAGAGCTAGAAACAGGGATCCTCTGTAGAAAAACTATACGAACCACACATATCATATTTTCATATTAAGAAACAGGTCCAGCCATTTTTGTTATCTACCTGGATTATTGAGCTTACAAACCTGTTTTATAGGGACTACAGACCATGTATTATTTGTTTTGTGCCCTTTAGTGAAAGTTTTGGTTTGGGTTAAGGTAATAAATGTATCTCTCTCACCACAGATGAACTGTTCCTGTTGCCAAATCTTTTGAAATAAAACTGCAGAACACAAAGTAATATAAAAAGGGATGGGTAGAAGATTAAATCAAATTCAATGTATTTCCTAAAGACTAAATGGAAGAGAGAAAAAAACAGTAGTGGTACAGAAGTGGGAATGATTCTGACTGGGAGCAGGATGGGAGCAGGAGTCATGTTACCAGGAGTGGGACAGGACAGGATTTTTTCTGTGGGACCAGGACAGGAGTGAAAATTCACTCCCGTGTCATCCTTTAATGGGTAGTGACTGAAAGAATGACAATGTGGCGGTTGAAATGAGTTTCCTCTGCAGGGTAGCTGGATTCTCCCTTACAGATAGGGTGAGGAGTTCAGTTATCAGGAGAGACTCAGAGTAGAACCACTGCTCCTCCACATAGAGAGGAGCCTGTTGAGGAGGCAGTTGAGGTGGTTTGAGCATCTGGTAAGGATGCTCCCTGGGCGCCTCCGTAGGGAGGTGCTTTGGGCATGTCTGACTGGGAAGAGACCCCGGGGAAGACCCAGAACATGCTGGAGAGACTACGTCTCTCAGTTGGTCTGGGAACACGATGGAATCCTCCCAGAAGAGCTGGAAGAGGAGGCTGTGGAAAGGGATGTCTGAGCCTCCCTGCTCAAGCTGCTGCCCCCGTGACCCGACTTTGGAACATGCATGAATGGATGCATGCATGGATGGATGGATGGATGCATGGATGGATGGATGGATGGATGGATGGATGCATGGATGGATGGATGGATGCATGGATGGATGGATGGATGGATGGTTTCCCCACAGTCACAGACAGGTGAGATTTGTTTTTAACGCTTGGTAGTGAATACAAACTGTTTTGTAATTCCTAACTGATCTGAATAAACTTCTGCAGTGACATTTTCTAACTCTTAACAAAATCCATGAAAACTGAAACTCAGGCCGGATGACGAAAGAGTGAAAGATCAACCCCATGCATGCAGTAATCTGTCCCTTACAGATACAAGCTCCTGAAAGCTAATCCCCTCAGATCATGACGGCCTCACCACAAACCAGAAATGAGCGCTCAGTGTTTGGCTTTACCTGCGTTCTGTTCCACATAACGGAGGCCCTGGAGTGTCCCAGCTTGTTTTTGCACGGTCCCTTATCATAATGTCTCAGGAAGATGTCACCCTGCATTTAAACAACCACGACGGCTGGTGAGCACAACGCGTGTTTAAAAGCACGTGTCACATGAGTGAGCTCGGCTGCAGGGGAACACTTACGTCCAGATTCTGCAGACAGTACCAGCAGAAGGTGTGCTTGCAGCTCTTACACAGCATCTGAGCGCAGCCCTGGTTCCTCTCGATGTAGATCCCACACATGGGACACTGCTTGATGGACATGTCCAAAGGACTGTTGGAGCAGGAGACACAGCAGGACAGGAATTAATGAAGTCAACACAATGTGTGAGATTATTATTCAGCAGCAGCGTGAGAAAGCAGAGGTATGAGAGGACGCCATCATCTGTTCTTTATTTAATTCAGTTCATTCATATAGCACCAAGTCACAACAGAAGTCATTTCAGGGCACTGAACAGAAACATTCATTTATAAAAAAATAAGTTAATAACATTATCTGAGGAGCAGACTGCTTTGAGTCCAACTTTGTTGCAGACTCTCATCTAATCTGGACTCAGATGATAACCCAGACTATGTGGATTAAGAGAAGCAGGAAGGTGTTTACTTTCACACAGCTGGACATCTGTCACATCTTTACTGTGAATTATATCCAGAGAATGTTAACCAGTTCAGTGGCCTCAGGATTCTGTCTCTATGTGTAGATGATGTGATCCTGTTGGTGTCATAGTGGCGTGATCTCCAGCTCATACTGGAGCGGGTATTACCGAGAGGCTCAAGGAGATCTGTTTTCAAGACGTTCCTAAATTTGAACTACGATTTTAAAAAGCCACAAGAACCCAAACATGGTCCTTCTTGACCATGTGATCAGCTGGTTTTGGTTGTCAGCAGCAAACTGGTTGATCCACCCTGAGACGGTGCTATTTAAGAGACTGAGCTGAAAACAGCTCCTCAGACTGAGGAAGTCTCTCGGATGAGAGACGAAACGTTTCTACAAATTTTTTTTGGTTTGTTTTTTTTGTTTTTTGAACGTCCAGAGGACCAGACTTAACTTTTTTAGATTTTTCAACCTGGATTACTGATCATCAGGATAAGGCAATAAAACATTTTATTTTTTATAAAAAAACCTAAATGCAACTCAGAGCAAAGGGAGACTGATGAGTGCTTAAAGGTAGATTTGTAGACTAAATATTAGACTTTAGACTAACGCGCAGTTAAATTTATTTTAAAAAAAACATACAATGGGATTAGGCGAGTGAGAAAACCCAGTCCTCTCTAAAGCTGTATAGCTCAAACATACTTTAAAGTAGAAACATCATTAAAAGTCTAAAAGGACTGCAAACGTTTGGACGTTCTGTGTCTGAACTGGCATTTAGACACGTTTATTTATCCAGTAAAGTTTTATGAATTATGACAACTTTACCAAACATTGTTCAACTTACACTAAAGGTTTGAGTTGGCTAATGTTGATAAAATGTTTTTCTCCCACAATATTTCCTCTTCTTGTACAGTTTACACATGAAAACGTGAACGTCAGCTCAGATTCTCATTAAAAAACGCTGCTCTACAGAAGAAAGAGGATGTATGCTGGATTTTGGGCAGTGGGCATTTTTCAAAATTTCATCAGAAAATGCTCTAGTGTTTTCTCCTCTCTCCTCACTGCAGTGTTTTCTCACTGCAGCATCCAAACTCGTGCTGTACAGTGAATCCGCTCGCCCTGCGCCCTCCCAGCTGCCTCTGGCACAAAGACAGTGGAATTCCAATAAAACTCGGAGGCTCCCGGATGACATCAGCCAGTCTGGGAGAGCTGCAACTTACAGACTCTGCAGATGAACAAAGCCTCTGCTATGGATTACTAAACAACTGGAATAATGTATTTATTCAGCACAGGGGCACTACTGGGGGCAAAGCACTTAAATAATCCATTAATTATGCTGTCAACACCATGCTCCAGCAACAGTTACTTTATATGAAGTGATGACTGACCTGCTTTCTTTAGACAGTGAGGACGACACAAAGAGCTGCTGCTCCGGGCAGGTGTGGTCGTCCTGCCAGAGGCCTCTGCAGCCGGAGCAGAACACGGCCTGGCAGGTCGGGCAGGCCACGGCCGCAGGATGCACTTCAATGCTCGGCTGGACGCTGCACACTGCCTGGCATTCAAGCACCGGGCACCAAGCTTTGCTGGGGTCAAGCTTCACTCCTGTACAATACAGAGGAAGGAAATCTTTTGAAGCCTTTGGTCATGTGATGTCCCTCTTTGCACCAGACTGCACTTTCTTCTGTCCCTTGTCCTTGTCCCACAGATTAAGGTGATGCTCCTCATCTTGATAGCATCATAGAAAGAGTAATTTGTAAATGCTATGTCTATTGCGTGCACGGTTTAAAAGAATCAGACAATAAAACATTTTTTAGACTCCCTCACGTGGGGGCTTTGGTAACAATGGTCCTCCCAACACATATTTTATCCAAATATTTTAGTTTTAAATTTAGCTTAATTTATTAATCATAGTTTTTGTGATGTTATCTAGACCTAAATCTGGAGCAGCTCTGTAGCTTTGGACTTTTATCACTTTGTAACAGTACAAACTTCATCCATCTAAATAAAAATGTTTTGGTGTTATTAGCTGAAATAGGGCAGCACGGTGGCTCAGTTGGTACATCTGTTGACTCTCAGCGAGAAGGTCGCTGGATGAGATCCCAGTGGGGGGGCCTTTCTGGGTGGAGTTTGTATGTTCTCTCTGTGCATGCGTGGGTTTTGTCCAGGTACTCCAGTTTCCTCCCACAGACCAAAAACATGCATGTTAGGCTGATAGGTAACTCTAAATTGTCCCTAGGTAAGAATGAATGGTTGTTTGTCTCTATGTGTCCCTGTGATGGACTGGAGACCTGGGCAGTGTGTCCCCCGCCTCTCACACAATGATTGCTGGACATGGGCACCAGTGACCCCCGTAACCCGAAAAGGAAGAAGCGTGTAAAGACAATGGATGGATGGATTAGTTGAAATATAATAGGCAATTTAGCACAGAAAACAATGAAAAGGCTAACTGGAAGCTGTGAGCTCTTTACAACAGTAAGAGCTGCTAGCGCATTAGCTTGTTTAGATTAGATAAAACTTTATTGATCCATTGGGAAGATTTGTTCAGGAAAAATAAAAAAGCTTACATAAAAAGCTTAGTTTAAGTCAAAGTCAAAGTTTTGGAATGGAGGCTGCACAGCTGAACGAAAAGCTTTGCAGAGAGTGGTGAAGGCTGCACAGAAGACTGTTGGAGTCAGTCTCCCCACCAGCACAGACATCTACACCTCGAGGTGAAGGAAGAGGGCCACCTGCATCATGAAGGACCCCACACACCCAGCACACACATTTTTTGCCCTCAGAAAGGAGGTTGAGGAGCATTAAGTGTAGAACCACTAGACTGAGGAACAGCTTCTACCCTGAGGCTGTTAGACTCACGAATCTCTAACCAGAATAATCACTGTGAAAAATCACATCATGTTGCTGCTGATCAGTTTCATGTTGCTGCTGATCTGTTTCATGTTGCTGTGTTCATGCGTGCTCATCTGCTCACACAGACTCATGTTTGTGCTGCTGTTGTTCGGTGCATTGTTTTGTACTACTAGTGCTTTTAGTTAACGTTTTTCTTAGTTTCTATCTTAGATCTTATTACTGTTTTTCTTTTACATTTTATACTTTTGTTGGATGTACCTGGGACCCTGTGTACACAATTTCATACCACCTTATGTACCACATGTGATGCGAATGACAATAAAGAACCTTGAATCCTGAAAGTTTCTTTGTCATACAGCTGTGGCTGAGTGGTTAGAGCAGTCGTCCTCCAATTCAAGAGTTGGGGGTTCGAACCCCACAGCAGTCACATGCCGAAGTGTCCCTGGGCAAGACACTGAACCCCTTGTTGCCTCAAATGTGTGTCCCATTAGTGTTTGAATGTGATAAAGCTCTGATTAGTCTCTTTAGAATGATTTGTTCAATTAGCTTTGTAGAGATCTAGTAGAGTGCTGTATGAATGGGTAAATGAGGCACAGATTGTAGTGTAAAGCACTTTGAGTATCTCAATAAGATAGAAAGGCGCTATATAAGTACAGTCCATTTACCATACGCATGTGGTACATGAGGTAGATCTCTTTTGGAAGGGAGGCTGGGCCTTCAGGCATGTAACACGTGTGTTTTTGGACTGTGGGAGGAACCCAGAGTACCCAGAAAAAAACACAAACAAACACAAGAACATGTAAACTCCACACAGAACGACCCAAGATCCAAAACAGGGATTGAACCCAGGACCTATACTTGCTGTGTGGCAACAGCGCTAACCACTAATCCGTTGTGCCACTTGTTTACTGTTGAACTGCTAAAGTGGAAGGAAAAAACAAAAACAAATTGTAGCTTCATAGAGTGACTAAAAATGGCTAGAATCCAATCTTTTGATTTTAATTATTTTTAAAGACTAATAATTATTAGGCAGCTGAAGAGTAGGAATCAACCAGATTGTAAAAATACAATGAAACGGTTATTATACCAACATCTGAGAGACTTTAACCAGCTTATACTTTCACCGTGATTTAAAACGAAAGAGAAACAGTCACAAAGCAGCCTGCACTTTGGACTTCTTTTATTTCCACACGTCTCGTGATTCATAGCCGGAGTAAACAATAACTATTCCTGGCTTCACACAGAATCATTGTTATTTGACTGGAAAGACCAAAACAACGCAATGCATTTGCGATGCGCAAATGTTGACAGAAAACTATTTTAAGTTAGGCTTCTAAAAGTCTTTAGTGCAGGGCTGAGCTGCTGTGTGCCGCCACAGAACCCTCCCCACTGCATGCACTGCACAGCTCATTCACCAGAATACTGACATTTATCCTTTACACTTCATGTTCTGCTGGTAGTCTTCAGATAAAATTCAAGTAATAAAATTTGTGCAGCAGTAATCTTGAATTTTTTCTCCAACACTTGGTGGGGGGGTGGGGGGGGGGTGCTTGTGTAAGCTGAAAACAGTTCACTGCCCGTCATTAGCCAAGAGGATATGAATGCAACAATAATACCTCTCTCAAACTTCAGCCGCTGGTACAGCTCCCCCTGATCTGCTGCTGCCAAACTGGAGATCTGCAATCACAGAGCACAACCAGACGTCAGACTCCATCCTTTGACGTACAGTAAAAACAAACAAGTTTTTTTTTTTTTTTTAAACCAACAGCATTTCAAGCCACGATGTCAAACCTCTTATATAAACAGGGAGTGGTAAATGTGTTGCCCCCAGTAAAGTGATACTAAGAAATGCTTGTTGCTCAACTATTCACTCAATTTATATTGGACAAATAAAGTACTGCAACAGCCTAAAGTCACAGCTCTTTACTTTTCCTTTTATGTCACGTTTGTTTAATTTCACCAAATAAGACTGATTAAATATTAAATTCAAGACACAAGGACAATGAATGCAAGGTGAAGAGTTCTTCCTGATTTTAAGTGTGTTTAAGGAATGTCTTGGTTGCGAGTCTCTCTTTGGTAGAATTAGAACCACTTTCATATTTTCCTCTTATGGTTTGGATTGCCTCGTTTGACTTTTAAAACTAAAAGCAGTAAAGATATATTCCAAAAATAATAATTTAATTTGTACACATTTACACAACAAATAATCGGATTAAAGTTACCAAACTTAAAAAAGCCCAGGCTGAACATGCAACTTCTTTCTTCACAAGCGTGGTTGCACCACAGTGAAGTGGAAACTTCAAAAAATGAGAACAGTCAACAACCAACATTTAAACTACGTATATATTTTAAAAATAGCTTTATTTTTGTATTTCATTTCGGTTTGTTGTCTGAACTAGAGTGAATTGCAAAAGTCCAACCTGGAATTAAATGTATTTCAGTTTGATTATGAATTTGAATTTTATACAACAATGAAGCCTGAATGGGAGGAAAAACTATAGTTTAAAATAAAATGTATATATATTTTTTAAAAACCACTGAAAAGTGATGCATGCATATACTGTGTCTTCACCCTCTTTATTCTAAAGCCCTAACCATTGTCTTCAGAAATCAGCCTTTGTCATTTGTTTCCTCTTCAGGAGGCACCACAGCGAGTCATCCTCCTCCATCTCTGTCCTCTGCATCCTCTGTCCTCACTCCAACTGCCTCCATGTTCTCTCTAACTGCATCCATATGTCTCCTCTTTGTCTTTTTCCTGGAAGCTGCATTTCTAACATCCTTCTACCAACATACCCACTGTCCCTCCTCTGGACATGTCCAAACCACTGTCCCTCCTCTGGACATGTCCAAACCACTGTCCCTCCTCTGGACATGTCCAAACCATCTCAGTCTGGTCTCTCTAACTTTATCTCCCAGTTGTTCAACCTGTGCTACCTCTGATAATCTCAGTCCTGATCTTATCCATCCTTGTCACTGCTAAGGAGAACCTCAACATCTTCATTTCTGACACTTCCAACTCTGTCTCCTGTTTTTTTGTCCATGTCTCTGTCTCCAGACCATACAACATAACTGCTCTCACCACTGTCTTGTAAACTTTTCCTTTGACCTTTAATGACACCCTTTTGTCACAAATCACTCCTGAAACTTTTCTCCATCCACTCCATCCTGCCTGGACTCTTTTCTTCACCTCTTTACCACATTCCCCATTTTCCTGGACAGTTGACCCCAAGTACTTGAAGTCCTGCACCTTTGTGACCTCTGCTCCTTGTATTCTCACTGTTCCACCTCCTCCATCTCATTCACACACATGTACTCTGTCTTACTACAGCTGACTTTCTTTCCTCTTCTTTCAAGTGCATACCTCCACCTCTCCAAGTTCTCTTCCACCTGTTCCCCGTTCTCACCACATATCACAATGTCATCTGCAAACATCATAGTCCACGGGGATTCCTGAAGATGAAATGCTCAGTATTTATTATACCTGGTTTGATAGCCCACAGAATCAGCATCAGGGAAACACCTCAAATTAGTAAACACCACCACCAAGACTATCATTAAGACCATCCATCCATCCATCCATCCATCCATCCATCCATTTTCTTTACCCGTTTATTCCATTTTGGGTCAAGGGGGTCGCCGGTGCCCATGTCCAGCAATCACTGTGCGAGGGGCGGGGTACACCCTGGACGGGCCGCAAGTCCATCACAGGGACACATAGAGACAAACGAGACAAACAAACATTCACTCTCTCACTCACACCTAGGGACAATTTAGAGTTACCAATCAGCCTAACATGCATGTTTTTGGCCTGTGGGAGGAAACCGGAGTACCCGGAGAAAACCCACGCATGCACGGAGAGAACATGCAAACTCCACCCAGAAAGGCCCCCGGACCGGGATTTGAACCAAGGACCTGCTTGCTGAGAGGCAGCAGCTCTACCAGTTGCGCCACTGTGCTGCCTCATTAAGACCAAGTAATACTTAACACAGGTCAGAGACAAAGTTATTGCTAGAGTTGGAAAATAAAGAAAACCCAGAATCGTGAACATCCCACATCTAGTCCAAGAAAACCAGCAAACCTGCTAAGAGATGGTCATCCCCCAGACCTGACAGGTTAACCTATAAGGGTGTTAATCAGACATGTCCAGAAGGACAACAATTACCCTGACAGAGTTGCAGGCCTTTAGAAATTGGATGATCTGTCCATAAAACCACTATAAGCAGCAGAGAAAATCTATGGCTTAAAGAAAAAATAATAATAAGGCAGACCATTTGGAATTTGTCAAAAGGCATAGTGGAAAGTTTAATGGAAAAATCTGTTTGGATCTTCTAGAGAATGAGACTGGGACAGAGGTCCACCTTCCATGAGGACAATGACCATAAAGACAGTACTGAAACAACAATTCACAGGTTGAAGGAGAACTAGATAGAATAGTCGAGCTTGTAGAGACTTACCTAAACAGACCTGCTGCTGTAATTTCCTTTTATACATTCTACAGTGCCATTAGATTACTTTTGTTCTGAACTGGCAATATGAAGATAACCTGAACTGAAAATGTACCTGAATTATTGTAGTGAAAGTAGGTTCTGAAAGATAAAGTTGAAGACTTAAAGCAAAAGAGTTGAATACCTACATTATGCATGCACCACTTTTCAGTTTAACGTTTTGATAACTATTTAAAACATTTTATCCATGGAAAACTTGTGTAGGTTGAAAACCCTCTGAGTCCAGACTATAAGGAAACAAAACAGAAACATTGCAAAGAGGTTGAATACTTATGGAACATGTTGTACTTCTCAGTTTAAAATGGTCGTACCTCAGAGTCGAGGAGTACTCCACTTTTTGGGCATGCCATGTCTGGACAGGTGATGGGTGCCCCTCCACCTTCCATTATGGCTAGTTGGACATACTGCTGCAAACACTGAGCGAGGGAGGGGAAACAGAATGAGATGGGATATTTAAAGACTAAGACCACGTTGTGACCACCAACAGAACCGTGTCTTTACTGCCCGTCCGACGTCACGGTTGTTACACCACACAGCAAAACATGACGGGAAACAGAGCCCAAAGACAAAATACAAACAGGGAAGGACACGAACAGTTGTGAACAACAGAACAATTTAAATGCCACATAGACAAGTTTCTTATCAACGGCAACACGTCAAAAGTCACATGTTGCCTCAGTAATGAAATGTGGCAGGGCAAGAGGAACTTTAAGTATTGCACAAATGCAAACAGTTTGGAGGAACAAAGAAAACGAAATTTATGAATATTACTTTTCTGCGGACGAAGGAAAAACTTAGGGGAAAAAGTCAGGAATGGAAAGAGCTAGAGCTAAAAACAGAAGAAACACCACAAGCAATAGTTTGCTCACTTAAACCAGATTGTTGAAGGTATCTTACGTAGGGAAGGGATGGGACTTGCACAGCAGAGTTTAGAGTCGCACTTTTGTTGTGTGTGGGCGGGTCTTATTTGTGCGACCTTGCGTGTTTATTGCTGTCAACTTGGTCAAAGATTAACGTCGCCTGCCTGTTTTGATGTAGCAGACAGGAACACGCTGAACAGGAAAGTCTAAAGATAGAGCTACTGTTCACACAACAGGAGTGAAACTGAAACTGGGAACAGAGTCGAAGGAGGGTAAATACTGGGACTGATCAGGGAAAATTCCAAGGACAAGATCAGTGGAACAGAGGTGACAGGAAAACAAAAAGCACTGGGTTAAAATCACTATGTCACTGAAGTGGAAACACACTAAATGTGTCTACATAAGGGTTTACTTTAAATATCTTAAAGCAACAACATCTGCACAATAAAAAGAACCCAAACTAAGCTTTCTGCTCCTGGATCAGTTCAATATCATGAGAGGTCATGATCAGTTTGTGTTGTGAATGACTCTCTGCTACTACCACATCAAATTTTAGTCCAATATCTGTAAAATCAACTAAAGTATACTCATTAATATGTTTTCTAAGGTCAGTTGGATGTGGCAGCCATCTTGACTAATACTAGCTCCAAACGTTAATCAGTTGTAAATGGTAAGTGGTAAATGGACTGTACTTATACAGCACCTTTCTCTCTTATCAAGACACTCAAGGCTCTTCACACTACAATCTGTGTCCTCATTTACTCATTCATACAACACTCTACTAGATCTATACAAAGCTAATTGAACAAATCATTCTAAAGAGAATAATCAGAGCTTCATCACATTCATACACTGATGGGACGCACATCAGAGGCAGTGAGGGTTCAGTGTTTTACACAGGGACACTTAGGCATGTGACTGCTGGTGGATTCGAACCCCCAACTCTTGCATTGGAGGACGACTTCTCTAAACACTCAGCCACAGCCGCCCATCCAGTGATTGTTTTTGCAAGTTTCGTGAAAATTTTTTCTAAGGTTTATGAAATATTTTGCTAACAGACAAACAAGGTCTGTTCCAAACGGTTACCGGAAAAAATGTTAAAAATCTTGGTCAGTCTGTTAGAGCTTGGAACAAGTGTCTGAGATCAGTCCCAGCTAGAACCACATCAAACCTTAGACAAATATCTGCCAAATCGTCTGTTAGACAGTTTTCAGTTTTCTTAAGGTCAGCTGACTCTGGCATCCATCTTGAAATGAGTTAATTTGTAAAATGATTATTCCTGCAAGTTTTTCTAACGAACACACACAAAAAGAATTTAATTCCTGTAACATCTTATTTGCTCTAACTGCTTGAACACCCGACTCGAAGCACCTTCCCTCTGACTGCTGGACGAACCATGTGGACCTACCGCGGTGCAGAACGTGCACTGGCAGCTCTGCAGCTCCCTGGTGGCTGCAGCTGGCTGCTGGCTGAGGCACAGCTTGCAGAAGAGCTCTGGTCCAAGCTTGGAGCCCACAGCAGACAAATCTCTGGCCTTCTGGGTATCGATGGGACTCCTGCTGGTCATGGTGGAGCCAGGTGATCTGCAGGGTGGGGAGTGGGAATCTGGCTGGTTCTAGGCCTTCTGCTGGTGATGAAGAGAATCTACGGCCTCCATGTTCCTAAAAGCAGAAACAAAACTTCACTTACTCAACATCTGTGTAACACTTTGAGGTCCCTTCCTCTTTAGACAGATAGAAACGGCATCATATTAACAAAATGTGCTAAAAAAAAGGCCTGTTTGACTCCAATTGTGTAGATACTTGTTCAGCACATTGACAAGAAAAAGCAAAAATCACAAGAAAACATATATAAAACATTCTATAAATTATTTAAAAAAGCAACAATTAAACTAGCTACGTATTGTTAATTTAGCTCCAAGTACAACCTAAACTTACAGTTCGTGATAAGACAACAAAAGACCATATTATTAAAAAAACAAAAGACCATATTTAAAAAAAACAACAACAAAAAAAACAACATTTAAAAACAAGAAAAGACAATATTATTTAAAAAAAATCATAAAAAAATTTGAGTTTTTTTATTGAGTTAATTTGTAAATGATTATTCATGATATAAAAAATATGATAAAAACATGATAAAAAAATCATATTATTAAAAAAAACAATTATTATGTAAAACCTCTAACCATGCACACACACAAAGTATATATAGATATATA